GGAGGCTGCAGGGGATGAGCTCAGTCTGAGCCCCCAGCCCGAGGGCCTGGGCACGCCCCCTGCTGTGCCTTACCCCCGCCACCTGGTCATCCTCAAGCAGCTGGCCCACAGTGTGGTGCTGGCCTGGGAGCCGCCTCCTGAGAGAGTGGAGCTACGTGGCTACCATATCTGTGTGAATGGGGAGCTGCGTCAGGCCCTGGGACCTGGGGCACCCCCCAAGGCTGTGCTGGAGAATCTGGACCTGCGGGCCGCGCCCCTCCATGTTTCCGTGCAGGCCCTGACCAGCCGGGGCAGCTCCGACCCTCTGCGCTGTTGCTTGGCGGTGGGTGCCCAGGCCAGAGTGGTACCTCGCCAGCTGCGGGTTCATCGACTGACAGCTACATCCGCTGAGATCACCTGGGTGCCCAGCAATACCAATTTAGCCCATGCCATCTACCTCAATGGGGAAGAGTGCCCCCCTGCCCGCCCCAGCACCTACTGGGCCACCTTCTGCCACCTGCGTCCTGGTACACACTATCAGGCCCGAGTGGAGGCTCAGCTCCCACCTGGAGGGTCCTGGGAACCAGGCTGGGAGAGGCCAGAGCATCGGGCTGCCACCCTGAAATTCACCACACTCCCAGCAGGTATGCAGGCTTGGGCATTGACTGTAACACCCAGGAGGCCAGGCCATGGGTGATGGCGGAAGGGAAGACTGTTTCTATTTGCATTTTCAGGGAAATGGCAAAGTGGTCTGGTATCTCCAGTGGCGAGTGTCCTGCATTACTAGTCTTGTGTACCCTCTTTCCTTCAGGCCCACCTGATGCCCCGTTGGATGTTCAGATTGAGCCAGGGCCCTCCCCTGGAATCTTGGTCATCAGCTGGCTCCCAGTAACAATCGATGCTGCTGGCACCTCTAATGGCGTTCGGGTCACAGGCTATGCTATTTATGCAGATGGGCAGAAGGTATGGCTTGGGGACTCTGCCCTCCTGTACCCTGGGAGGAAGATGTGGGTCTCTCCTTGCCATGCGCAGAGGCCTCATCTCCCCAGTAGGGCACAGAGGTGCCCAGTCCTGGGCATTTGGGCATTAGTTAGCAGATTGGTTAAGAGCATGGACTTTAGTAGCAGATGATTGGTAGTCAAAAAAACCACTCCATAATGAAGCCCTGTGACCAAGAGGATTAAGTGAGCTGAAGTGTGCCAAGGGTTTGGCACAGTGCCTGGCATAATGCTTGCCATCGCTGTTATTGTGTCCTCACATTTGGCCATCTCAGCCTCCCTTTGCCATCTTGTGCTCCCCCCACCCACAGATCATGGAGGTGGCCTCTCCCACAGCAGGCAGTGTGCTGGTGGATTTGTCCCAGCTGCAGCTACTGCAGGTGTGCAGCGAAGTGGCCGTGCGCACCATGTCGCCCCATGGCGAGTCAGCTGACTCCATTCCGGCTCCTGTCGCCCCAGCCCTAGCCGCGGCCTGCCTGCCAGCCACGGTCTCCTGCCCCTCACCACGACCAGGCTCAGAGGCCAGACCCTCCCTCGCTCCAGCCTGCCCAGGGCCTGGAGACCCCAGCTCTCCTCTCCGGCGCCCTGAGCCCCATGAAACTCGAGAGCCTCCTGGGCCTCCCCCAGCAAGCCCTCTGAGAGAGAAACCAAATGGATCCCAAGAGGAGCCCCTAGTACCTTGCTCCCAGGTACCCTGCTGGGGGTGGGGAGCAGGTGGGACTAGAAGAAAGGCTTGGGGCTGGGCGCTTCCTCAGTGCTTCCCATTCCAGGAGGAAGCTGGGGCGGTTGTGCAGGGCACCTCAGAGGACAGGAGGGCCAGCGATTCAGCTGTGGGTGAGAGAACTGGCCCTGCACCTTCCTCACTGGCCCAGGAGGAGGCCAAGTGGACCACGGGAGAGGCCCACCCGGCACCCTGCTCCACCCAGGGACCACTGTCCCAGAAGGCTCCCTGTGCTGAGGCCTGCCTGAGAGGAGACACAGGGCCTGGACTGAGGCCCAGGGCTGAGGTATGGGGTTGGGGACACACTGTGCCACCTCAGAGAACTGGGGCTCGCCTCCTTGCTTCCTGCCAGGCAGACTCTGGTCACCCTCTCTGCTGGTTCTCTGCTCTGGTCTGTGCTGTGTGTCTATTTCTTTGTTACTTCATCTTCCCTGATTCCTCCTCTTTTGGCTCCCATCCTTCTTCTCCCAACCCCCTATCATGCATACACCCATTTAGGACATGACCCTCTTTCCCGCTGCCAAAGAACCCCTTTCGTTCAGAGTACCCTTCCTTCCATCCCTCCTCACTCCCCCTCTCCTGCAGAAGGAGGACACGGCAGAGCTCGGGGTCCGTCCAGTGAACTCCCTTGTGGACCATGGCCGCAACTCAGATCTGTCAGACATCCAGGAGGAGGAGGAAGAGGAAGAGGAGGAGGAGGAGGAAGAGGAGGAGCTGGGTTCTAGGACTTGCTCTTTCCAGAAGCAGGTTGCTGCTGGCATCAGCATCAGGGAGAATGGGGTTGAGGTAATGGGGTGAGGAAGGGCTGGTGGGCTCTAGACCTTGGGTTCCAGAGGCCTCTACCCCATGTGTCAGCAGCTGCTCCAGTCGCCGCTGAGTGCCAGCAACATTCTAGGTGTGTGGCCTGGGCCCCGCCTGTCCTAAGCAGCAGTTAGGAAGTGGCTCAGGATTGGCCTCTGCCCTCCTGGGAAGGAAGGGGAGAGTGAGGAGCTCTTTGCTGCACCTTCTTCTGCTCCAGCCCACCAGATGCTGCATCTGAGATCCTATTGTTGGGAGCTGCTGGGGGGAGAAGTGGGGAGGCCTCTCTGCCATTATAGGGGCCCAAGCATCATGCAGCCCGTTTGTTTGTGTGTGTTCCCTCATTCTAACTCTGGCTCTGCCCTGGACATGCCATATAACTTTGGGCCCCCTCTCTGGTCCTTCCTCTTAGAGGAAGCTGAGGGAGGGCTATAGGGTTGCTTGCATTTGAGAGCAAAGGTCACAGCTCTCTCCTCTTCCCATGGACCTCTCTTCCCTGCTGCCCCCCCCCCCCCCCCCCCACCACGCCCTCCTGTGAGACTGACAGCGACGAGGAAATCTTGGAGCAGATCCTGGAGCTGCCCCTCCAGCAGTTCTGCAGCAAGAAGCTCTTTAGCATCCCTGAGGAGGAAGAAGAGGAGGACGAGGAGAGGCCGAGGGCAGGCTCTTCTCAAGACCCCAGCCCGCCTGAGCCCGCGTCGCTGGGTCTGGGCTGTGATGGCCGTCAACCCCAAGGACCTGGCCCATGTCCTTTGTCTCCTGAGCCTTCCAGTGCTGGGGACCACCTGGAGGACATGCCTGGCTTAGCTGGTGGAAGCAGCTGGAGGAGAGGAAGTGGCTCCACCGAGAAGCCCCCAAACCGCAAGCGGTCCCCAGACCCCCGGGAACACTGCAGCCGCCTTCTCAGTAACGGCGGGCCCCAGGCCTCTGGACGACCAGGCCCCACACGGGAGAGAGGTGGTGCCCCTGTGGGCGAGGGCTCCAGGGGTGGACCAGAGGCTGGTGGGAGAGGGCGGCCGGCCCCTTCCCGGAGGTGTCCACGTGGCCAAACCCCAGAATCTGGCCTGGCCAGCTGCCTTTCCCCCAAGTGCTTGGAAATCAGCATTGAATATGATTCTGAGGACGAGCAGGAAGCAGGCGGCGGGAGCGTCAGCATCACTAGCTCCTGCTACCTCGGAGATGGGGAGGCCTGGGGCACCGCACCCATAGGAAGGCCCAGGGGTGCTCTGAAGGCCAATTCAGGCCCCAGCCCCTACTCACACCTCCTGGCCTGGGAGAAAGGGGAGCCAGAGCGGAGAGGCTGCAGTGCGACTGGCAGAGCCAAGGAGCCAGCCTCCCGGGTCCGTGCCCACTCCCCACCCTGGGCAGCCCCCTACCTGCTGCCGCCTGGTGGCTCTGCTTGCTGCCCACCAGCCACTCCCATTCCACGCTGCCACCTCCATCAGCAGAGGCGGGGCTGGGCCTCCGGGTTTGCTCACATGCCTCCTCCCACCCACATTCCACTGCTTTGCTGCTTCTGCTGATCGGAACTGGGATGCACAATATTCTGGTATCATTAGTCACCAGTTGTCTCCAGCCAACCCCCTGCCTTTGGGCAGGGTGGCCTTTAACTCTGCTTAGGACACTGACTGTGATGTCCAGCGTCACCCAACCCACATGCTGAGAAGAGGCCCTCCTCTCACATGCTCCTTGGCCAACTCTAAGCTCTAAGCTCTCTTCTGCACACATCTACTAGGGTGGCTGGAGGTGGGGCCTCCCATCCTGTCCTCCCCTACCCCCCGACCCCCCACCATGGGGGTGTATGAAGCCTCCAGCAAGGTTGGGCCAAGGCTCCAGGAGAGGAATGTTGCGTCCCTGCTCTGCTGTGCTGCTTATGCTGATGGGGCAGAGCTGGGGAGTGCGTGCAGGGTCCCGCCCCTGCTGAGGTGCCTGCCAGAGGGATGGTGTGACACTTCTGCTCTCTGTTGCCCTGTCTTTGCAGGCAATAGAAATTGGGGAGCCCAGAGGGCAAGATAGCTCTGGAAGGAGGGGCCACTTGCGGAGAGGGAGCCGGCCCCACAGGCCAGGTGCTACTGAGCTGGGTGAGCACCTGATGGGGACTGGGCTGGGGGGAAGGGGCCTTTCCATACCCCTTGGCTAGGGCTTATTATCATTGTTCTCTCTCTCCCCAACCTTCTCCACAGCCCCGTCCAGGAGCCCCCCAGAAGTGCTGGCTTACCAGGACCTACCTGTTAGGGTCTTTGTGGCTCTGTTTGACTATGACCCTGTGTCGATGTCACCTAACCCTGATGCTGGGGAAGAGGAGCTCCCCTTTCGGGAGGGCCAGGTCCTGAAGGTGACTCAGTGTCCGTGTCCTCCCTTCTCCCTCCTTCCTAGCACTGGAGGTACCATAGCCATGGCTGGGCGAGAACACAACTTCTAGAGCCAGATGATGTGAGGTTGCCACTTCTAGCTGTGTAATCTTGAGTAGATTAACTCCTCTGGGCTTCAGTTTTCTTCTTGGTAAAATGGGGATAATGTTAGTGTCTACCTCATAGAGTTGTTTGAGGTTTTACGTGATACAGTGCACCCAGAGAACTTAAACTGCCTGGCACGAAGCACACTATAACTGCTGCTGTTAACATTACAACTTTGATTATGTTTCCAAGTATTCATTGAAGGCTTTTGCTGTTGCTCCGAGGTTGGGGAGATCTAGTCTGGAATAGGCTAGGGGAATGGACCTCCAGATACTGGGGGCGATGACAATATGGAATGGGCTCTTTCTTTCATCCCTTTGATCCTTATCATTGGCTGTTTCCTCCTGTTTCCTGTTCCCCCTCCCGCAAAAGGTAGAGCATTCCTTTGCAGTTGAAAGTGGATACTGCAGGGTTCTGGGGCTGGGTCATAGGGAGCAAGATGAACTGGCTTCCCGAGACAACTGGTCTTTGCCTCCAGGTGTTTGGGGACAAGGACGCTGATGGCTTCTACCAAGGAGAAGGTGGGGGCCGGACGGGCTATATCCCCTGCAACATGGTGGCTGAGGTGGCTGTGGACAGTCCCACAGAAAGACAGCAACTGCTCCAGCGGAGTTATTTGTCCCCAGATGTTCTCATCGACAGTGCAGGTATGACCTGCTGCTGTCCTTCACCCACATCTCCCGCCACCCCAGTTTCAATTCAACCCCATTTTGAGCTTTGTATGTCTGGAGCGGTGGGGTGCCTCATTTACCGAGAGTCCAGCAGAGCCATTGGGGCCTCAAAGAGACTGAGGCCGGTGTGGCCACAGCAGTGAGCTCACCACGTGGAGTGGGGTCTGCTGTGGAGGGGATGGGCCTTGTATTTTGGATCCCGGGGGTCAGGGATGGGAGAGCAATGCCCTTCAGAAACTTGAGCGCAGGAACCTTGGCTCAGCCCCAAGAGGAGACTTCAGAGTCACTGTCCTATCCCCTGCCTCAGTTTCTCTTACATCTACTTGCTTTCCTGGATCAGGGAATGGTCTCTTTCTGTACTCCACAGCCCGCACAACTGGGCCTCCCCCCAAGCCCCGCCGCTCCAAGAAAGGTGGGTGAAACCCCCTTCTCCTTCAGGGGCCTGTGAGGATGAGTGGGGATGGGGGGCACTGCTTGGATCTCTGGGGAGACACACGTGGGGTTCTGAACAGGTAAAGGGGACCAGGGCAGACCTTCATCACATACATTCCCCTCCAGTGGGGAGCTTCATTTTAATGGGGACAAAGAATGATTTGCTGGTGCCTCTGTTCCAAAAAGCACCTGACTGTAAATTCTTTGTAACCTGGAGTAAATCACTTACTCTTTCTGGGCCTTAGTTCACTACCCAAACCAAAGACTGGGCTTATGTGGTCTCCAAGTATCCTTCTCCTGCATCCCTTGTGTGAGGCTGAGTGTCCTGCCTGCCCTGCACCATCCCCAGCTTGGGATGAGCAGGCATGTGAGGGCCAGGCCTCACACGCACCTTCTCTCCACAGCTGAGTCAGAAGGTCCTGCTCAGCGCTGTGCAGGTGAGGGGCCGTCCCTGTGCAAGGGAGGCTGGGGAAAGAGGTGGGGCAGGCAGCCCTTCTGGTCTCTCTCCAGGGACTACAATTAGTGTGGGAGGTGGTGAATAAGGGGTCAGCAGACCTCCAGTGCAAACTTTAGTATGGTGTGGGAGGTCTAGAGAGAGTCTGGAGTCTTCTACCCCTCCCCCTCCCCCTGCAGGCCCCCCTCAGCCGGTCTCCTCTGCCAGCCTGAGAGCTCCCCGAGCCATGGTGGCTGCGTTTGACTACAACCCCCGAGAGAGCTCCCCCAACATGGATGTGGAGGTGAGGACCCTCAGATAGAGCCCAGCCAAGGGGGGTGGTGTCAGGGCCTCCGCAGGCCTGACAGCTGCCTTCCTGTCTCTCTGCAGGCAGAGCTGCCCTTCCTAGCAGGAGACGTTATTACTGTGTTTGGGGGCATGGATGATGATGGCTTCTACTATGTGAGAACATTGGGGTGGGGGTGCCATACCTTGCCTCACCAGCCCTTTCAGAGAGGGCTCTCGAGCTGGGGAGGGGATGAGCAAAAGTTCCTAATGGACACCTGGATGTATGGACAGGTCACCTCCCATAACAGAGTTATTGACCCCAGGCTCTTACCCCAAGGGCTTCACTGTCGAGGGGTGCTGGAACTGAGGCCTCTTTCCTAGTCTCTGTCTCACCAACATCTCCTCCGTAGGGGGAACTGAATGGACGGAGGGGCCTGGTTCCATCCAACTTCTTGGAGGGCCCTGGGCCTGAGGTGGGCGGCTCAGACAGGGAGCCTGGAACCCTCCAGGCCGAGACTCAGGTCAGTGAGGAGCTGGGTTCCCAGCTCAGCAATTGGGTCTCTACCCTGCTGTGGTGATGGGGCCAGGGCAGTGTGGCAGGAGGGCCGCAGTGGGCAGTGATCCAGGTGAGCATTGTGCCCAGGCTGGAGCTGCTGAGTTATTGCCAGAGGGAGTGCAGCCAGGGCCGGCTTCTTCTCAGTAAATGCCCCTTTCTGCAAAGGGTGATAGCTGTGACCCTGATTCTGGGCCCATTTGATCCAGCTGCCCATACCCTGGGGCTGTCACAGATGAGGGGGTCCTGTGGAAAAGGACCCCTGGGAATCCCACACCTCTAACCCGTCCTAGGCCTGGTTTCAGAGAACCTCCCACCCTGCTGGGTCTCTCTGTTTCCTGGGAGCCTATTAAAGCCAGTTGCCCAGCAAGGCCCAGCTTCCTGGGTTCTCATTCTTAGAGCCAGCCTCTCCTTGGGGTGGGTGGAGTACAATTAAGCTCCCACCTTGCAGTGCAGGGAGAGTGTGAGGAGGCCAGGCCTGAACTGCAAAGCCCCAGGTTCTCCTCGGGTTAATTCCAAAGGCGAGGACTATGCAAAGCAGGACCAGCTCCTGTGACCCGGAGACCTGGTGACTGGGCGGAGAGCGTGTGGGTCTGTGTGTAACCCATCTCCTCTCTTTGTTCCCTGTTCTTCAGAGAACGAGGAGGAGAAGAGTCCAGTGCTAGATGGAGATAGATATATGTAGAGAGAGCAACATGTAAGTGGGGGACTGGCCCCTATGTCCATGTGACCCCCACTCCCCATGTGACCATAATCAGACAGCATGCTAGAGCTGACCTGGCTTTTCCAGTTTCTTCCAGGGACTGGGGGTGGGAGATCTTGCTATGAGCCAGGTTTGGATATAGGATCATCCTTTCCCTTTGCTTTTGGTCAGTGCCAGGTGTTATAGGAATATGTGTCATCTTAGTATATAATGGCCCATATTATTGAACTCCTCATATTCTATAGCACGTGCTCATAGAATATTACGTGACGTTCATATTATGGCTCATCAGTATATTATGATACTATATGACTATGGTATTATAATGTGATTATTATTGGTGACGGAATGTAATACCACCAATAATAATAATAGTTTCCCCGTCCTTGTCCTCTGCATCATGACCTCCTAGGGTATCAGATGCATGATTTTATTTCCAACTCTCAATTTCCTCTGCTGGGGACAATAAAAGGGAGACTTAAACCGTTGGAGTCCATGGATAACCCCACGTCATTCGTCTCTGGGGGTCAGAGACCACCTCCGTTTGCCCAGCAACCCATCCCTCTTGGAATGTTATAGAAGGAGACCTGGAAGGGAGTGGGAAGGGCCTGGGGCTCCTGGCCAGTCATCAGGCCTGGCTGGTTGACAGTAGGTGCTTTAACCAATAGGTGCCAGCAGACCTCTTGGTGGGCAGGCCCCAGGCTAGACACCCAAGTCCCTGCCTCTGGTCTGGGTTCCATGACTGGCTCTGGCCAGGAGACTACTAGGCTCTGGTGGCAAGGGGGTTTGAAGAAGGGAGTGGGGAGTGAGAAGTGGGGAACATGCAGGCTGGCAAGACTCGCCTGGGCTGTGTCAGGCACAGGAGGTCATGGTGGGGAACATGGGAATCTGGGGGATTAGGAGAGGCTTCCTGGTGGCTCTTCTATTTGCCCAGTCCCTATCCTTAGCCACTAACAACACCATCTGGGTAGGCCTGTGGCAGAGGGACCACTCATGATTGCAAATGGAGCTAGGAAGAGATTCGATAAGGGAAAGATGCTTAAGGAAGCGGGCCAAGGTAGCCTCCATACTTGCGGGAGCTGAGTGATGCCTGACTCTCTCAGGCTCCAGGCTCCCAACAGCACTCCCAGGGGCCATTCAAGGAAGAGTCCTGATCTCCTCCCCATGGGGTGGGCACTGGCTTCACTCCCTGAAGGCCCCAGGGCACCGCAGCTGCTGGGCTGGAGGCCACGCTCCGTCCTCTGTGAGGTGGTGCAGGAGCTGCCTTCCCTGGTGGGGAGGGCTACCTCCAAGCGGTCCCTTTGATGGGAGGGGATGACATGGGAGAAGTTGCGGCACCCATCCCAAGGATCAGGTCCAAGGACTCTTGAGCTCTGCCAGCCCAGCACCCTACAGAGAGACCTAGAGAAGAGGGAGGGCCTGCCCAGGCCCCAAGTGAAAAGAAGCAGAACTGGCTCTGCCCGTCGCTTCAGACTCCCAGCTCCATGCTCCCTCATCATCGTTGTGCCCATTCTCCTCTCTGTTCTCTACGTGTGTGGGGCAGTGGTGGGTTGGTGGGGCTCTGGTTCTTGACCATGGCTCCGCGACATGGGGGCGTGTAGGCACCTGAGGTTGTGAGGTAAAGGAGTCAGGTTAGGGCGGAGAGTTGGGCCCTGATCTTGTCTCTTTTCTCTCACATTCCAGGACTGGGCCAGCTCAACACAAGGGCCCACAGTGCCCCTAGGCTGGCCCTGTGCCCCTGGCCCTGGCAGCTTCCCCAGGTTTGAACTGGGGGTGCCGCAGGGTACAGGCGAGAAGATGCGAGGTCTCCTCTCCAAGGGGAAGCAGCTCCTCAGGAAACTGGGCTCTGGGAAGAAGGAGTGACGCTGTGGCCCACCCTGCAGGAAGAAGCGGCCCCTGGAGGTCCCCAGATCACTGTCCTGGCTCAGGGGAGAGGAGGAAAGGCCCCGGACTTCTGTTCTGAGTTAACACCGTGGCACTTGGAAGGGAATCAGAGACTCAGTGAAGGTCAGAGCTAGATGAGTCCTTGAGGATGGGCCCTCTAGAGGGACATCTTCCTCTTAGAGGAGGGACACTGAGCCCCAGAGAGGCAGTAACTTGGCTGAGGTGGCTGAGCACCTCGGTCACAGAGCCAGGACGTTACTGGGGACTCTTGGCTCCTAGTCTTCTCACATATGCCTAGTTTCCCACCGTGCTGTGCTGGTTCCTGCTCTGGCCTTCCCAGATCCCAAGATTGGGGGAGCCTTGGCGGGGAAAGGGGCCTGTTCCCCCTGATGGCTATCCCGAGGCTATCCTGATCACGTCTTCCTTCCCCAGAAGGAAAGTTTGCACTGGATTGTCCCGAGCCGCCTCCCCGCAGGGCAGGCGGCAGAGCTGTGTGTATATATGTACATACTCAGTGCCTCAGTCCAGCTCCCTCCATCTCGCTTCCCCCACGCAGGCCCGGGAAGGAGAAAGGCCATGCCAAAGCGGGCCTGATCCCGCCCCGAGAGGGCTCCACCCGCCCCCTGCCAACCCTGCCTCTGGCTCCAGCGTGTCCCCAACCCCAAAGACCCAGGGGGCCAGCGGGCAGAGAGCAGGAGTTGGGTTTGCCTTATTTTGCTCATCGGATTCAATTTCTCTTTTGCATCGTTTTCCTCTGGCCCTTGTTGGAGTCTGGGGCTGGGGAAAAGGACAGATTTATGCAGCTATTTTCATACATTCTCAGTTTAGAATGGGGTAGGGGCTCCCCACCCTTCCCCTAACCACCCATCTCCACCCTCCTGCTGGGTGAGTGTCTGCATGCTTCCTTCGCTGGGGTGGGAGATCGTCTGACTGAACTCCCACCCCCACCTTGTTCTCTAGGGGTGAGGAATGGTGGGGGCATTTGTTTAAAAAGACATTTTATTATAATAAAGTCTATTTTCACAAAACCCCTGCTTGTCTCTACCTGGGACCTGGGACTCGAGGGGCAGGTCATACTGGGCTCTGGACTTGAGAACCCAGAGGTCACATTCCAGGGTTATGGTGGCAAAACTAATGAATGGCAAGAAGACCAAGCAACTCTTGAGTTTCTTTGAAGAAGAAGATTTGGCAGCTTTGTGAGTCCCTTGTCGCAGGACCAGGTGTTTGGGGTTGGGCCAGGTGTTGGGAGTTGGGCCAGGTGTTGGGAGTTGGGCCAGGTGTTTGGAGTTGGGGCAGGTGTTTGTTTGGAGTTGGGGCAGGGTCCTAGAGGGAGAAAGAGACCTGGACAGGGGGACGGGAGAAACAGGAGGAGAGAAGGCATGTCCTGCAGTCTTGCTTCTCCAGTACCAAATTCATGGAAAGAATAGATATAAGAAAAACCAATCAACCAAGCAAACAAATACCATGTGTAGTTCCCCCTGAAAGCAAGAAGTGGGGAGGAGGGGAAATCTTGGTAGACTAGAAATGGGAAGATTCCAGAAAAGACAAACAGCTGGAAGATCATACTCAGAACTCCCCAAGCAGGGTGGCCGTGGGAGAATTCTGCACATTGCTCCAGGCCTAGAGATGGCACAGACAGAGCAGAAGAGACCCCGGGGGCTCCTGACAGTGATTAACTGGAGTTCCATGTGAAGAGCAACCAGGTCCATTGACTGCGGCATAGTCAGTGGACCGAGGGGCAAAGGCGAGGATGTCCGCCTTTAGATCAAAACAGTGGAGGTGGCAGCTTGGATCAGAGACCAGGCGGCACTTTAGGTGGCCAGCGACAGCTGGCAGAAGCAAGAAGCATCACTGCCCAGGTGAGGAGCCACCAAAGTGCAGCACGTTGCGTCCCCCTCCCTCTCTCACAGAAACTCTCCAAGTCAGCAGGAGCACCCACCCAGCTGTCTTATAGGGACTCTAGATGACTAAGACAAGGACACAATTAAGATTCAACAAACAAATCAATTTGGGAAAAATTGACATTTAAGCAACGTCGAATCTTCTGACCTGTGAATAAAGTATATCTCTCCATTAAGTTAGGTCTTTAATTTCTCTTAGTAATGTTTTGTAGTGTTCAGTAGCATCCTGCACATCTTTTGTGAGATTTATCCCTAATTATTTAATATTTTTGAAGCTATTATAAATGGTATTGTTTTTTAAATTTTAGTTTCTAAATCTTTGTTGTCAGTATACAGAAATACAGCTGATTTTTTTGGTCTCATAGACTGCAACCTTACCAAACTCACTTATAAGTTCTAGTAGCTTGTTGTAGATTCTTTAAATTTTCTATTTGTGTGATCATATTGTGTGTAAACAAAGACAGTTTTAAATCTTCCTTTCAAATTTTGATGACTTTAATTTCTTTTTCTTGCCTCACTGCATTGCGAAATAAAAATAACAGGAGTGGACACACTTGCTTCCTGCTCTTAGGGAGAAAGCATCCAGTCTCTCACCATTCAGTATGATATTAGTGAGATGTTGGGGGGTTTGCTTTGTTTTGTTTCTGTAGATACCCTTTATTGTAGATACCCTTTATTAGGTTTGAGAAAGTTCTATTCCTAGTTTGCAGAGAGGTTTTTTTTTCTCTTTTTTCTTTTTTTAGATAATCAGTAATGGATGTTGGATTTTGTCAAATGAGCTTTCTGCATCCAATGAGAGATCATGTGGTTTTTCTTTCTTAGTTACGGCAAATTTCATTGATTTTTTTTTTTTTTTTACACGCCTACAGCACCCAGTCTTCTAGGTGCATTGATTGATTTTTGAGTGTTAAACCCACCTTTCTTTCTTAGGATAAATTCCACTTGGCCATGACCTGGGAGGCGGATGAAAGCCTATTCCTCAGCATGTGCCCTTGTTGAGTTTGAGGCGTGTGCACAGGGCAAAGATAAGGAGGTGGTGGGGATGGTGGGAGGCAGGGGGCTCATATCATAGAGATACTCAGGTTACAACCTTGGCTCATCCCTTCTCTGTTTCCTCCCTCCCCTCAATCTTGACACCTTACTGATTAGGGAATCTCCAAGTACCTCTATCAAAGCAAGAACTTCTCCTTAGGTCCTAATACTCTGGTCCTCAGGGCAGAGGACAGGACCTGCTGCTTCCACTCCCTAACCTGGCCAGGGTCCAGCACCGCTGTGTAATTCCCCTCCTGCAAACATCTGCTGGCCTTGAGGGGCGCTTTTCCTGCCTTGCAGTTGCTACAGGACAGGCACTGATCTGATGAGGGCAACTTGGTGCATAGAAGAGGGCACAGCTGGAAAGCTCTGCCTAGCCCATCCCCTGCTGGAGACACCTGGTCCTGCTCTCCTCCCCTCTAGTCCATTTTCCCCTCTCAAGGTCCCAGGCTTCTTCTGTCTCCCTGAGGGTTGCTCACACAGTCCTTTTAATTTTCTGCTCTCCAACAATTTCACTTCTGTGCCTCACTTGTGTGATATCTCTACAGGCAGGTTTGGCTGATGGATCCTGCAACCCATGTTAATACTGCTTTGTCTGAAACAGGTTAATATCCATATTTCAAGAACTGGAAGTCTACTTGTAACAGAGAACTTAACTGCAATACTAAATGTATAAGATAATAGAATATCTTCCCAAGTGCTGAAGAGAAAGAAATTTGAATTCGAATTCTATCCTTAACCAAATTATCAGTCATAGAACCGAAGCGTCCCACAGAGGAAACGCTTGCTCTAAAACGCCATGTATGCCAATGCTATCTATCCTTTCAATCTTTGGTAGTGTTTGAAACTGAAGTAAAAGCAACCCTAAACCACCAATTATGCAAAACAAATCAAAGTTTGCTACTTTGGGGGATTGAGGTGAAGGGAGAGAGTACTAGTTGTTTTGTGATAAAATTATTATATTGTCCTTGTAAAACTATCAAAAGAGGGGCATGGGTTTTATAGCAGAAGTTTCCTCCTCCTCAGCCCTTTTAGTTCCATTCTCCAAAGGTAACCACTGTTAATAGGCTTCTGTGCCTGCTTCCAGAATTTTCTATGTACATTTAATTATGTGTGTGCATGTGTGTAGCATGTATGTGTGTCTATGTGTTTTGCATGAATTGCATCATGCTGCATATGTTTTGTAACTAGTTCTTTTATTTTGGCAGCGTATCTTTTTTATATTGTTACATATAGACCTCCCTCATTAGTTCTAAAGGCAGCATAAAACACAGTCATGTAGATGTACCACAATGTGGCAAAAATTTATCGATGGACATTTGGCTTGTTTCTGGTCTATCGGTTGTTGCAAATGAGGTTGAAATAAACACCCTGGTGCAGATAGCTTTATGCTTTCCTAAGAATGCATCTGAAGGATAATTTCTTCCTGAAAGTAGAACTGCTGAGTCAGAGCACATGTACATTTGGATTTTGACGGACATTGCCAAATCGCCATCCCGTGGTGCAGGGCCAATTTACATTCATTTTTTTCACATGCTGACTGGCGCTGGCTTTATCAGTCTCTTTAAATATTAACTAATCTGATGGGTAAAGATGCTGTCGAGTTCTTTGAGTTTAGCACTTGTTACTTTTAGTGTTTTTTGTAGAACTTTGTCTCATGAACCCTCTACCAGTAGCCACAGGTATAAGGGGGAGGGTTAACTGAATAACCATTAAACACTTGTACAATCATGTAATTTAACTTGTCTTTACCTTTACAATACTACCCTACACAAATTTTCAAACTATTATTTGAAACTAACAAAAGCTTAAATATTTCCTCTTAAAAATCTTTTGTCTTATTCATTAAATAGAGAGTGAGACCTTTCTGGAACAGTGGGTTAAAAATGTCCAGTGCTTTTCAGGTCTATGAATCTACTTGCTAAAGAGAACTAAAAGAAGCATACTAAAAAATTTTTTATCTTTAAAAACACTTACCTTGAATGCTTTTAAAGGAAAGAAA